GTCTTGCGCCATCCTTACAATACTTGCTATATACTTAAGCCCATTGTTGTAGCCACTGTGTCAATTTATCTCATGGAGGGCCTTCCTTTTTGCTGACCCTCTACTTTACCAAGCATGATATCCTTCTCCAGGGAATGGTTCCTCCTGACAACATGACCAAAGTAGGTAAGACAAGTCTGGCCATTCTCACTTCCAAGGAGCATTGTGGTTGCACTTCTTCCAGTAGATGTTTGTTCTGGCAATCCATGCTACTTGCAGTATTCTTTGTCAACACCACAACTCAAAAGCATCAACTCTTCTTTAGTCTTCCTTACTCATTGTCCAGCTTTCACATGCAAATGAGGTGATCGAAACTACCTTGGCTTGGGTTAGGTGCACCTGAGTCTTCAAAGTGACATCTTTGCTCTTCAACACTTTAAAGAAGTCTTTTGCAGCAGATTTTCCCAGTGCAATACGACATCTTATTTCTTGACTGCTGCTTCTATGGGTACTGAATTACACACAAACACACACACACACTAAAAGTTTCCTGGATGACTCAATCAGTTTCAGATTGGCTACTAACCTAAAGGTTGTTGTTGGGTATCATTGAGTCAATTCTAACGTATACCAACACCATGTAACAGAGTAGAACTGCCCCATAGGGTTTTCTTGGCTGTAATCTTTATGGGAGCATATTGCCAGGTCTATCTCTCATGGGGCAGTTAGATAAGTTCAAAGTGCTACACCCCCAGAGGTCCTTACCTAAAGTTTAGCAGCATAAAATGTAACCTCTGGAAGGATAAATAAGAAATTAGTAACATTGGGAGCTTTCAGGGAAGAAAACTGGTAAATGGAAGGGAGAGACATTTCACTGAATGTTATTTTGCAACTTTTGAATTTTGAACCAATGGAATATATTACTTTCTGAAAAAGAGAAAAACATGGACTATAAGGAACTAAATGCTCTAATATTCCTAAATTTGTAATAATAATAATAATAATAATAATAATAATAATAATAATAATAAAAAAAAGGCTTGGTGCTAGCTTCCAAACCCCAGTTGCTGGGCTTCCTCTGGATTTGGTTTAGGAGGAGGTGCAATACATACAAACTAAGAGAGCAAAGAAAGAAAATGGGAAGGTAGTACTGGGATTTGAGATGTTGAGATGCAACACTGCAGGAGAGTGGTTAGCAAAACTAATTTGGTGAATAACAAAAAAAAAAAAAAAACACCCCAAACCCACTGACATTGAGTCCATTCTGACTCATAGTGACCCCCTTTGGGTTTCCAAGGCTGTAAATTTTTATGGAGTCTTCCTCCCACAGAGTAGTTGATGAGTTTGAACTGCCAACCTTTTGGTGAGCAGCCAAATGCTTTACCCACTACACCACCAGAGCTCTTTCAATTTGAATAAACATTCTAAAAAACGTTCTAAAACTTAGTAAGTTGCTAGTTGTTAAATGGTTTGAAATTGTATTTGCTGTGCAGATATAATGTCACCACATGAATAATTCTTTCTAAATATAGCTGTCAATCAAAATGAAGTATAATTCAAACACCATTTATTTTTAATTTCTCAAACAAAAAAAAAAATCAACAATCTAAGTCAGTGATTGGTAATGTATAAACAGAGGCCCAACCCAGCCCACCACTTCTTTTTGTAAATGTAGTTTTATTGGATTAAAGCCACACCCAATTATTTACATATTGTCTCTGGCTGCTTTCACACTACAACATCAGAGTTGAGTAGTTGTGAAAGAAGCCACAAGGGCTAAAATACACACTATCTGGCCCTTTACAGAAAAAGTTTGTTGTCCTCTGATTTAAGTGATCATGATTTAAGGACAGTGACATCTGACAAAAGGTTCAGAAAGGATGGTAACAGTGACCCATCAATTAATAAGGTTCCTCCAAATAGGAAGGAGATCAAGTAGTATACATTTGACATCATTTCTTTGACAAACTCTTTGATAGACATTGTAGTTATTTAAAATTGATATTCAAATAACTTAACAAGAATTTTTTTTTTCTCCCTGATTCAGTTACTTTATTATTAGAGCAAGAGAACAGATTGCATCTTAGTATTTAGCTTAAAAGAAGTCACACCTGAAAGTGGGACGAAAACAGAGTAATCATCTCTCATCTGCTGGTGGTTGAAGCAAGATGAGAACTGCTGTCCATTTCAGATGTCCATCTCCTACTTTCAGTTACTGAAGACTTATTGTAGCCATGTAAGACAAGCAGAGAAGCAATGGGCTGCTCCTAATTTCTCTGCTCCTGGGTTCCAAGATTGTTGCATTTCTTTCCAGGGGAAGTTTGTTTCTTTGTTTATTTTGGGTTCTTTTCTTTTCTGAAACAGTGATTGGCTCAGTCATGGTTGCTATTGAGTTTGTATGCTGTTGGCATATCAGGCACTTGCTGACTGGAAAAGTTTTATGTAAAGTTAATGTTCATACGGTGCCAGATGGAAGACAGATCTCCAAGTTGAGTTCCCACTATTCTAGACACTCAAAATCTCAAAATCTTCCTCCAGGTCAAACTCCTCTAGTTGTTCAGTAGAATCAATGAATTCTATCAGAATACAGAAAGGAGAAAGAAGAAAAGGTTGGCAAGTTGAAGCAGTCAATATACTGCTCAGTAGCTTAAGACTAAAATTTTAAATCACTTTGCTAAAGAAAAACATGTCTGGGGAAAACTTATAGATAGAACCACTGCCAAGTATTAGAAATCCCCTTTAAAAAATCAAAAGAACTGGACTCGTTATATTCTCCTATTCGCAATGATGGGGCTGAAGCTCTGTAAGACCTCTGAGATACCTTTGAATCACCCATGGCCTCTGGTTTGTTATTCTGCACCAGACCACAGAGGGAAAAAAAAAAAAAACATTCTAGTCATTTAGATTTTGTACAGAACTTTAGCACTGAGCCCATTTTATTTGAAATTGCCAAATATAAATTCATCAGAAGATCAATATAATCAGAAACAGCATTCCTTGACCAGTCTAGCTGAGTAGAATTACTCTCCCCTCCATGGAAAGCTTAAGTCACAATTGCCCCTGAACAATAGCTTACCTGCCCCAGTGGTTGTCACTTCTGGCTTGGCTGGAGGTACAAAGGGAGGCCAATGTGATGGATGTTTCTGAACTAATTCAAACATCCTTAAATTCTCCTTTAGAATTTCCTGAGGAGACACAGAAACTGTTGTAAGCACTGGAGATTCACTACACTTCTGTTTTAAAATCTCTATCCAATTGGTAGCCCATGACCTCAAAGCCTAAAAGGATGGTCTAGCTGTTGAAAGGTTAAAAAAAGGGGGGGGGAGGCTAATGGTTATAGCCCATCCCTACTTGACCCATCTGAGGACCAAACCAAAAACCAAACTCACTGCCATCGGGTCAATTCTGACTCATAGCAACCCACATTGGGTTTCCAAGGCTGTAAATCTTTACAGAAGTAGATTGCCTGTTTTCCTCCTGCAGAGTGGTGGGTCTGAATTGCTGATCTTCTGGTTTAGCAGCTAAATGTCTTAACCACTACACCACCATAGCTCCTTATCTGAGGGCCAGCCCCCTTCAATTCTAAATCCTGTTAGTCCAAAAGGAAGGACATTGGAAGAAATATGTGATGGAAAGCAGTATTCGTTGCACGTGCCCCATTGTGTGGTTCAGGCCCTATGCTAGTTGCAGTAGGCCTACCTCAATTTAGAGGTGAGCTGTTCCTGAAGCACTGGTCCAGAGAAAATGATAATCAAACTGAACTCGTGCCAAGAGAATTTTGTTGCACATTTGGCTCAGTTTCAGTTTCAGTCTAACATTTATGGCATAGGCTCTGATTTAAATGGCACAGTCTTATCAGAAAATTCTCATTCTAACTTTAAATGGGATGTAAATAAAATTGCACTGCATTGGACAATGTTAAGTAATGCCTTTAGAAAATAATTCTCTATTCTTTCTTAGCTAATTATTAACTGGGGTTTCTGATTCAGATGGGGAGATTGGTGTTAATTATTTGGTCATTTGAGAAGACAGATCCTCCCTCCTGACACTTACAAAAGGCTCTAGGCTCCCATCTCTGCAATCCCTTTATTTTTCAGATAGGAGAACATCCTATCTCCTGCCACTGCCAGCCAGAGCCCTTTAAGCTACTCTCTGTGATCTCCCTTCATTCTCAGTAAACATTTATCAATGTCTTCCATATATTAGGCATTTGTTAGAAGCTGAGACTCACGGAGGCAGATACAATGATTGGTGAGCCAGAGAAAGAATGCCCTTTTATACAGTAAGATAGGAGCTCTGGTAGCATGGTGTCTAAGGCACTTGACTGCTAACCAGAGGCCTGGCGGTTCAAACACACCAGCCACTCCTCGGAAGGAAGGTTGGGCGATCTACTTCCATAGTGATACTGCCTTGGAAACCCAAGGAGGGGTCACTATGAGTTGGGGCAAACTCGATGGCACATAACAATACAATAAGATTTATATCTTTTTATAAAGATTTATTTCTTTTTATAAAGAAATAATAGCTTGCTTTACTCAGTGGGTTTTAGTATTTACAAGAATTTATGCAAATTGTGTTTCCTATGTTGTTAGTGTTAGTTGCTGTTAAGTTGATTTCAATTCATGGCGACCTCATGTGTGCAGAGAAGAACTGCTCCACAGCGTTTTCAAGGCAATGTCCTTTCAGAAGCAGATTGCCAAGCCTGTCTTCCCAGGTGCCTCTGGGTGGGTTCAAACCTCCAACCTTTGTGCTGGTAGTCCAGCACTTAAATGATTGCCCCACCTAGGGATACCCTAATGTGCCTATATTTTACAGAAATTAGACAGTTAATAAACCAGCAAGGCCTCTAAACCATGATAGGATATATTAAGTTGTAAATGGACTTCTAAAGAAATAGAAAAGTTGTGTCATTTCTTAAACCACCTCAGTGCTGTGAACAGAGTAAGGAGGTAGTAGACTGAGTGATGTGAAAGTGGCATATGTTAGGTTAAAAGAGTAGAAAATTAGTTCAATATTGTATGACTCAACTCAATATTTCATATGACTAGTTCATCAGATCAAACATTAAATAGTTAAAAATAGTGCTCACTTGACATACGAAGCATATTTGAAGTAGAAACTTTACTCTAGTTCCCCAAAAGTTAGGCAAAATTCCCCTTATCTCATAGTTTCTTTGCTGCCTTAGTTTCTTTCACTTGCAATCAATTCATATTAGACTAAGTTTGTGTTACTATAAAAAACAACCACAACCTTGAAAAGTAACTTTCATTTTTAAAAACTAAGACAAAAATATCTTTACCTTCTGAACAAGGCTACACCAGTTATCAAAGTCTTTTTCTTCTTTGCAGAAAAATCCCTTGGGGAAAGCAAAAGAACACACCTTAGAACTGGTCAGAGGTACCCAGGCAGGACCTTTGTGTTAGAAGATGGAGTTGTGGGTGCAGAATTAGGATTTGGGCCACTCTCTCTGGATGTGTCTTCCCAGAGATAAAGAGGAAGACTGGCTGGGCTTCTTTCATGGGCGATACACACACATTGGGGCACATGATCAAACTCATGTGTACCTGTGTGTGCACATGCCCCTGCTCTTTCTCTGTGTCTGCCTGTGTCTCACTCTCTTACTCACTTTCATTTTCTCTCTGCCTCTATCCCTCTGTCCATCTCCTGTTTTCCTTGTACATTTCCCTCCCTGTCCATCTTCCCCCCCCATCCCTTTCCTCTCATGTTTTGAGAGAGAGTAACTTGAAGGCCAGTCTCCAAAATGTGGAGTTAATGCCATTACATTCACTACACAGATACACACAGCTATAAAGAATATTCAATTAAGCCAGCCATCAAAAGTCAAGTAGTACTTTTAGTAAAAAGCACTGCTTGATAAGGTGGCTTTGCCCTTAAGGATATTAGCTATTAGGATAAAGGGAACAGTCTGCCTCCTTCTCCAGCCTCAGAATCATCCTACATTAGTGAAATAATGGTTCAAAGGAAAGGGAGGACGGTGTGTCCTCTCATTACTGGTGCTCTGACATTTGAGTTAAATCAGAATAGCAGATGTAGATGGGCCTTAGATCCACTGGCTAATTCACAGGAAGACACTCCTTCAATATATGTGGACAATAGACATGTTTCCAGGGTTAAAAATCACTGCCACCTCCTGGATTATGTGCACAGAGAAATGGGCATGGTCCACTCAGCGGGGCTTGTCCCCTTATCCCTCCCTAGCTAGGCTCTACTTTCTCCCACATGCCCAGGTGGCAATAATTACATAGCAAGAAGGCAAGGAAAGGGAGAATGATAATCACAAAAATAATAGCTAAAGTTTGGGGAACTGTAACTATGTGCCAGGCACTGTGCTAGGTGCTTTACATACATTATACCTCATACAATCCTCACAACAACGCTACAAGGAAAGAATTGTTATTTTCCTCCTTTTTACAGGTGAGAAGATTGATGCTCAGACAGGTTAGTTGACTCCCCCTAAGTCCATAGCTAATAAATGACAGATTATAACTTGAGCAGTTAATTGGATTCTAACTTGAGCAGTTTGGCTCCCAAGTCCCTTCCTAACCCACCATACTACATTAGGTGGTAAAAGAACATACTCGTGCCACCCCATCTAGCAACCTTGATAGCTCCCACTGATCCACTCTGTGACAAGGTGAAATCGTTTATCTTGGCCCACTGAACCATCAGATACTCACCAATGCTACAGAAGGATCCAAGTTCAGGATGTTCATTCTCTGTGGGGACTGCAGGCAATGGAAAGTCTGATCATCAACCATTCCATTCTCCTCAGTGTCAACAAAGGTCTGGGTTGTGTGAGGGTCCAAGAAGATGAGTTCATCACCTGTTTTGAATGAGACATGCTTAACCTTCCAAGAACTACTGGCCCTGGCACCACTCCTGCCCTCGGAAGAAGGCACTATGGGGTTTTCCTAACCCCTCCCTTGGTGACAATGAGAATGGGATGACAGAAAGCCTGAAGCCAGGGTAAGCATGCTTGAAGGTAGCTACCAGAGCCCAAGTTCAATCATTCAATGAGAAGACTTTGCCCTAGGGTTTACATCTCCTCAAAGTTCAAGTCCAAAAATGGAAAGTGAAAGGATTGGGAAAAGGTAGGCATGAGAAACCACAGATGGCATGGCAGGCTCTGTGAGCAGCAGTAGCAAAGAGGGGGTAGGAGAATCACCAGGGCCTGAGCCCAGGTTCCTTTAAGGAACTTCCTGCCTCTTTTACCACTGAAAGCATCTCTCATTAGACTACTGGTTCTCAGAGCTATGATCATAGTACCTCTGGCAAGGCAAATGACCTTGGCCTCCAAAAAAAAAATGCTACTCAGGGAAGGAAGAATGGGAAGGATATCTCTGCTGTGGATGAGACAGCACTGAGCTGACTTCTAGTCGTGATTGGTTATGAAGTTAGTGATTGTTATCAAGTTAGAAATTCCTGTTGGAAAGCACTACCTTTGTCACAGAAATATCAGTACAGATATACCTCACTGAGAAAACTCACTTTGAGATGACTGACCTGTTACAATGACAGAAAAGCCATGCTTCATTAAAATGAAAAAACCTATCCAAATAATGACCTATGTACTGGGAGGAGTTTTGGATAATAAAATTTCTAGTTTGATCTGATATTTAAAGGGCTGAGAGTTCCCCTAAAGCTCATAGAGGTATACTAAATATGTATGAGGACACCCCAACATCACTATCCAGGACTGGAGACCATTTGAGTTTCTATAGTCTAGACTGTGTCAGGCAACCAAGACAGATCTACCTGTAGCAGGAGAATGGGATAGAAAGGTGCCCAAAGACCCTTCCTAGAATGGCATCTAGGATTGTGTTGAGCAATCCTAAACGCGTCTGTTGGAAAAGTCTAACAAAAAGCTTAACGTTTTTCTCTCTCACTACCTGGGACAAACCAATTAACTCACTCTTTATCTTAATTCCTTTGTTTATAAACTGGGGTCACTGAGCTTATTCTAGTTATCTCACAGAGTATTATAAGAAACAGAAGATTTCACCTCTTTGAAATGCACATACAAGATGGTCATAGAAATATCTTGCTTAGAGCACTATTTACAATAGCCAAAAGATGGAAACAACCTAGGTGTCCATCAACTGAGGAATGGATAACCAAACTATGGTACATACACACAATGCAAT